GTACTTTAAAGCACATAAATTAGTTACCCGGGCAATTGAATCAATTAGCCAATCAGATGAATGTCGGCCTATGAGGTCAGAACACTACTCTTAAGGCATATTGTAAATTTACAATATACTAATTCAGTTTTGTATTAACAACTTTAATTTGGATTTTACAAGGGTTTTGTTATTTTTTCCGCAATAAATACATATAAATATCTACTAAATAACGCGTACGCGACCATTCTTAACACATCATTACTATCACTTATGTATTATAAACGTCATATTCACAAACAATACTTGTATCTAAATAAATTATAATCAAAAATATTAAAAATACGGTTTAGAATAATAATTCAAAATAATACTTTTACTCGTAAAAACACAAACTAGTTGAAGCAAAATCTTTCAATTTCAACTCACCAATTGTTTAGACCGCCGAACTACCTTCCGACCTTTCAAAATATTCACCTCTCATCTAGTTTTTGGAACTACATCTTAGGTTAAAAAACAATAAGTTTGAAGGTAAACTTGTTACGTTTTGTATTACATTACAATTGAATATAAAAAAAAGATCGTCGCCAATCATATTTATCCTAATAACAGCCAATCAAAACAAACTTCCGCTATGCTTGATTTTGTTAGTTCAGTAGTTGACGCGATACGTGTTAATTTTTTGACGCGTCTTCAATAATATAAAAGACGTAAGGTGAGTTTGATATGTTCGATATATATATATTTTGTGAAGCAAACAGGTTAAAGCCGTTCCGTAAATCACGCTGTAGTTCAAACCGTTGAATATCTTTTAGCCACATCAGCATCTATAAAAATGACGGAAATGAATAATTCGCAAATAATTCCACAAGAAGTGAAAGATTTCTTCAAAAATAACTCGACATGGTCGTTACTAAAGTTTCTTCAGTTTAGAGAAAAAAACGAAAGTTTCACATATGAAAAAGATAAGGAACACATGTTTTATAAGAGCGCGTTGACCATGTTTTCCAGCTCAATCATGTCTCCTCGATTTCGAAGTTAAGTATATATGTGCAATACCGCAAGTAACAGCTGGGTTCAAGAGTTAGAATATGTTCCGGTCTCAGGACACATCGTGACATATTGACAACCACCGAGTAGCCAACTGGATTCGTTCTGGCGGGTGAGAGAGGAGTTCGTCTTCCCTCGGCACTCTTGAATATACTACACGTTAGTTGCCATGACGCAACAGGTTGGGTTCGTCCTAACTTGTTGTCAGGCTTCGTGCTCTGTTATGGTCCATCTCAACCACATAAGATATTAAAAAAGAATTATTCAATCTTATGCTAACCAATATCTATTTTTTTTTAATAATGAGGGAGAAAATTTCTCAAGGTGTTGTTAGTTTCTGGAGTGAGATCGAGAAAAAACGTTTAAAAGACAATATCGAAAAAGGATCGGTCTGTAAATTGTGCTTTGTAATTGTTTATTACTGTGCTGTACATAGAGGAACTGATTGATATAAATAGTTAGAATACATCAATGAGGTTATAGATGATTCGGCCAAAGATTCCAAAATTGCAAGGGAATTTTTATCCAACGAGCTAAAATCATTTGTATCAAGTTCTTTGAAGCGAGATAGTGTAAGTATTAAGAAAATTCAGTATTATATTATGCTTTTGCATAGTAATTTTACTTTCCTTTAACATTTAGTCACACGTGGAAACTTCTCAAGGTAGTTCTAATTTTCACACGCCGGATCACAGTAAGAAGGTCAGGATAGGGCCTCATTGTTTCGTACTGATTCTATGCATTTAACTATTTGTTTTAATATGCTATAGACCAGAACAGATATATCCAATGTCTCATTCGATGAGTACACCAGTGCTGTTAACACCGTCAATTCAATTCAAAACGATAAGTACACCAGTGCTGTTAACGCCATCAATTCAATTCAAAACAATAAAGAATCTGCCCACACAAAGTAAGATATGTTCTGCCTATTAATCTATCTATTCATTCTTGTGCGCTCATTTTCCCTGCTGTAGCCCACTCTGGTGGGGTGTTTTAGACTTTCGTGAGGAGATCCAAGCCTTCCCCGTGCAAAGAATTATCTTTCAGCTAATGAAATTGATGGTTTGATAAATATAACACAAAATGCTATTCAAGAAGAGAATGAAAAGATAAGTAAATCAGCTAAATCACCTTTAGAAGCATTGTTATTATCGGAAATCGTTAGCCTCCAACTTCTCGCAAAGGAATGTGGTGCACGTGGAGTAGTCGGTATACGTGATCTTTTGCAAAGATCTGCTGGTAAAATGCAGGTGATTAAAATTATATGCGTACTATCGCCCACAAATCTATTAAATTCTATAACTGCAATAGGATGTTGATGATAAAAAAACAATTCAAGATCATCTCGCAAACGTAGATGCTGATGATGACACTACAATATATATCGGGAGATGCATTGAGGACACGTAAGTTTTCTTACATAATATAATTTGGTCATAAATTTAAACATGGTATTACAATAGATTCGTAAACTCTAATAATTATAATAGTTACGAATGGATCAGTTGTTTTCATGGACAATGTCAATCTGAACGATGTTCCTTGTTGGGCCTTGTGCAAAAACTCCGCAAACTACAGTATATTCACATAGTAAGAAATATGGCTTATTCTTGATAATGTATCTGTATTTCTTTATGCTTTCCTAAATAAAATAAAAATATTACTTTAACGTTATCCACTTGTATATACTCGTGTCCAGATTAGTAATTATGTTTTTTGAAGAGATTTAATGCATTCTACTAGTGAGAAGGATATTTTATTTAACCACTTACGCTCATTTTTTGCAAAATCCTTTTTTTAGCGTAGGTTTCAAAATTAAAAATATGTATACAAATTTGCCCAATAATGGTGTTATCCGACAATTTATGATCATGATTGGTAGGGAGCCTCAAAAATTATTTTTAAAAAAGCGCTGATTACTAGTGATTACTATTCGAAATTACACCCCAGTGCGTTATTATGCGCAAATACGGTATGTCGGGAATTAAACTTTGGGGAAAGTATTTTTAATCAATCAATCGAGGTTGCCATTAAGATAATAAGGTAGTTTATTATGCGAAGAAAAATTTTTAAATAATAAAAAAATGAACAGCGAGTTTACTATTTCAAGTCAAAAATTTTTTATTCCGACCACCTTTTTTTTTGCGCTGACTTATCAAAAATTTATGAATAGTAAATGAATAAAGTATTGCTCAAGCGTTTTCATATTTTTTATTTAGTAATTTCACTTACCCCAGCAAATTATTTAGTAATTTCACTTACCCCAGCAAAAGTAAAAAATTTTAAAAATTTTAATCGAGATATCCAGACAACTTTCTGACTAAAATTGATTAAATTTTTTAAAATTGAATTCTATGGATTCATAGAATTTAAATAAAAAAAAAGATTATCTATTTTGGTCAGGTGGTTGTGGAGATATCTTTGCTCAAAGTTAGAGAAAATCAAAATAGTAGCTGCGGTAAATTTTTTCAAACCTTTGAGCAAAGATATCTCCACAATCACTTGACCAAAATCAATGACACTTTTTTATTTGAATTGTATATGGGCTGTGACATTTATTACATAATATTTTAGGGGGTGGGGTTGAGCATGTATTATATCAACTAGGGATGTCAAAAAGTCCGTCTGGTCCAGTCCCGGTCCAGTCCCTAAAAAGTCTGGTCCTGAACTAGTTAGGAACTAGTTCGTAAAACCGGTCCAGCCTTGGCAATTTAATAGGTTTATACAATACATATACATACAATACAATATATATCATATATATCAAATATAACGGTAATTGATAATCACTTTTTTTTATGTACAAAAATTTAAAATTTATTATAAAAAGAGACGCGTTTAACAAATATTAAACTTCTACTTAAAAAAATTTAAAATCAGTTTTTGCCAACCCTGAATCATACCATGTCTTTAAACAAAGACTTGCACATGCCTTTTCATCATCTAAGCGGTTTTGTACTGGACTTAGAGTATGCTTAGCAACTGAAAAAGCCTCCTCACTTGGAACACTGGTTGTCTGTGCAATAAGGTAATCAAGAGCCATGTTGACAAGAGGTAACCATTGTGGGTTTAAGGACTTTGATTTTCAAAATGCAAGAGTGTCTATATTCTCATCGGGTGTGTTCAAGTACTCATCTAACACATTACAATTATATGATATCTCACTATAGGACTGCTTTAGTTGGGTTCGAAAGTAGTTACGAGCTGACATTAGTTGATTAGTTTCCAAAATTTAATTACTTGTATTATCAACAGGGGGGGCATAGCTTTGATATGTTTTATTAATTATCTGATGCACATTGTCCTTTTCAAAACTAGATCCAAACGTTGAGAATTTAGACGACAGATCAAGTAATACTGCTTCTGGAAGGGCAGACTATAGTTCATTTCAATACTTGTCAAGCTTCTTAAGAATTTTTTCAGCAATTCGAGATTTTGGATTTTTTTTTTTATTTTTGGCTTCAGTCAGTTGCATTATAATCACAAAAAAAACCATACACACATCTCCAATAGTTGGATGGCTTGATGAGGAAAGTAATTTCGTTGCTTCATAAATAGGTTCTAGCAGCACCATTATTGTATTAATATTAGCCCAATCTTGATCAGTTATATATAAACTTTTAAGTTGCAGTACCGAAGCTACTAATATATCTGTCATTTCTTGAATTCTACACAACTTATTTAGCATCAAATATAGCGAGTTCCACCTAGTCTCGCAGTCAAGATCAAGTACAAGGAGTGGCTTGTTTTTCATTAAAAAATTTTTTTTAGTTCTTCTAGATGTGGTTGGGAACACCAAATTGTACTTGCGAAATCCCGGGCCTTTTTTGTTGACTCATCAACTTTGGAAAGACCATTTATGACAGCAAGATTAAGTATATATGCGGCACACCTCAATTGGCTAAAAGTGGTATTTCCATAGTGATATTTTAACATACTTGTAAGTTGCCAACCACAGACATCCATGTTATCTGCATTATTAGCAGTCATTAATAGAAGCTTTTTTCCTAAACCAAAGTCTTCAATTAGGTTGAATATTGTTTTTGCCAAAAACACACCTGTGTGTTGTTCGTGAAGTGAGATGAAATCTAGAAGTATACGTTTCATCTGCCATTGGTCATCGATCCAATGTAATGTGATTGACAGAAATGATTGGTTTGTATATGAAGACCACGCATCAGTCGTTATTAAAACTTTATAGCTAAATTTTTTGAAATAGTTTCGTAGCAGCCCTCGTTCATACTCATACAATCGTCAAATATAAGCCAAAATTGACTGCCTCATAGGTATTTTGTAACGAGGATTGAGTTCAAAAATAAGCATCTAAAAATCCTTATCTTTAACAATGCAAAATGCTTGCTAATTGCAGACAATCCATCAAACAAGAAAGTCATTTAGTCTTTTTATTTTTTCTTCATCATTAACACCGTAATGCATTATGGCCTGTAGTTGATAACATTGATCATATATTTTTTTATAGTTACTTTCAAAATGGCACTTGATTGTACTAATGCCAGAACCTCTTCCATATTTTCCTTTTGGAGGTTTGCATAATTTGCAATAAACCCATTTTTCATCTTCAGATACTGTAAAATAGGACCAAAGAGGGTGTGCATTTTTATATCGTTTAGAACTATGTTCATCTAGTCCTTCAGAATTACCTTCGTAACTTTGATCAATATTTAAAAAATCCTTCTCTGGAAAAGAAAAAGTATTACAGGTAGGTGTAGCATTTTGTAAAAATTCTTTGTTATTTGACATGACACAATTAATAGGATTTGTAAAGGATTCAAATTTTTGATAAAAGTTGTCATAATACATTGTGATGCTTTTATACATAGGAAAATAAAAAAAAAAAAAAGTGCGAACAAAACATGCTTCATTTTTGATGAAAGAAACAATTATCAGCAAAAAAAAAAACAATTGCCATGGGTATACTTTGGTTTGATAAATTATATAATCGTCCCATTAGAGAGACAATTGTAGTAAGAGTATGGTTTTTTATTTTTTTATTTTATTTTATTTATTTTTTTTAATTACTCATAAATAGAGCAATTGTCTGGTTGAGAAATTAGGCTAGTAAGTTATAACTTGTCATAATTATGTTGTGGCTTGTTTATACAATTATCAAATAAAAAAAATTAATGATGAAACGCAGATTTTATACGTAGCAAATGAACGCTATAAATTTATCTGCATTATTATTTGTTCTACTAGTGAATCTAGGCTTATTAGTATTTGGGTTTATGATTTAGTATTTGGGCTTTTTTAAAGTTATTGCTTGCATCTGTAGAATTCTAAGAGTTTTTGTTTATCCTTTTATATACCAATCTTCATTGTCATTATTGTAAGTAAAGATGATCAATTTTCATTTCAGTTCTATTTTATTAAAAGAAATTTCAAACTAACAAATTACATCTAGCATAGTTATGTTTATTATTTTATTTCAAATGATTATGTTAATTAAAGAGCGAAAGAAAATAGAAAGACTATAAAAAAATACCATACGCATTAGCTAATTTTAACTTTAATCATAATAGTATCTGCATAACAAATAAATATTATTAATCACTTGATTAGTGAAGTTTAAAGCCTATTTAGAGCCTATTTAAATTCAGAAATTTAAAAGTATCGTTTTTGATTCATTCCTTATTAATTTTCACTTGAAATATCAAAAACGTCACTTGGGTCATATTATATGATTATCTGGACTATTTTCAGACTGATTGTGGACGGTCTCTAAAAATCTTAAAAAGTCCAGTCCAGAACTGGTCCAAAACTGGTTCTCTGCGGACGACTTAACATCCCTAATATCAACGTCTTACATTATACAGTACGGGACAGTAAAAGACATCCAATCTATACATATAGGCGCCAATTTTGGTGCTTACATAATCAATTCTGATTGGCTAATTTTTGTGCAATTGATTTTGATTGGTTAAAAATCTATATATGTTTTCTTTTTTTCTATATTAAACGCCAATTTTTTGAACTCATATAAACTTTAATCTCTTATAACTTTTTTAAAACAAAGAATAAAAAAAATCCTCTGACAGAAATGTTGTTTAGCTAAAAATCTATCAATTTGTCAGAGGGTTTTTTGATTTAATTTTTTTTAAAAAAGTTATACCAATTTAAAGTTTTACTAATTAAGAGTGGATGTCTTTTACTGTCCGGTACTGTAGTTATTGTGAAGCAGTTATTGGTGACTATACTATTTTTCACTTTCGTATAATTTACGTCATCAAATTTAAACTTTTCTTTTCTTTGTATCCTTTTTTTTTTTTTTTTTTTTTAGAGACAAAATTTTAAGCTATAAAAAAAAGATGATAAATCAGTGATGACGTAAACTGTACAAATATGAAAATTTTTAGTGCAGTCATCAATAACATGGCTGCATAATAATTAGATATATTGGATCTGGGCTATGTCTAGGTATATGTCTAATGTCCAGGTCCAGCCCAATGGTATTAAAAATAGTTGGGCATATTTCCAATACCAACACTGCTTATATATTTTTTAATTTTTTAAATTGTAAATTTTTTAGAAAAAGGGTACTCCATGCTGTGTATGAAATTAAAATTTTAATTGCACTTTTGTTTTTTTATACTGCA